TAAGGGTTCCTTGTTTATTGTGACTTTTGACAGCCTCATGAAGAGCCTGTTCTTCATGCAGTCATATCTGCTACGAACCCTTTTCCTTTTTACCTTCTCCTAATTGAACTTGATAAAAAGGGTTGTAGGGCCTGGCTATATATTTTCTTCTATTTTGCCACAAGACAAGTAGTGTGGAACTTAAACACTGCAGCTGCATTAAACCTGGAAGAACAGGGACATGCATAGAAGGCAGCTCTCTCCTGGGGCCTTAAAATGACTGCTTTGGTCCTGCTGCCGGTTTGCAGCACTGGAGAATTGGAATCCTGGACTTGTACTGGAGCAGCCCGGAGGCACGATGAGAGAGGAAATGATTCTTGTGCAGCTCTGGTCAAGAATAAGGAGCCACTCTCTGTCCTCTGACTCAAGAGAGGTCAGACCTGCAAGATGTCTTAGAAGTTCTTCGAGGACTGTCATTGACAAGTAGGACTGAGATTCCACGGATGTCAGGACAGGGCACACAAAGCGAAGCCAGTCCCGGGAATGACGAGTTCATTAGTCCAAGCACTGCCGCATGTTCCCTAGCCCACCAGGGCCCAGAGGCTCCCAGCTGACCAGCCTGCACTGAATCGTCTGTGTGGTCCTGCGTGGTGGTGTCTTACAGAGTAAATGTAAGACATTAAAAGCTGTCACTGCTGTCATTTCAGTACAGAATGGTTCAAGTGCCTACTCCACCCATCACCACTGCAATAGACCTCAGTGACGCCTCCTGAATTGATGGGCACACTCTCGTTAGCCAGAAAAACTGTCTTTACAAAAGAAAGCAAATCAATGACCTGCATTAGATGGGGGTGGAGTGGGAACAGTGGAGAACTGAATGCCTCCCCTTCCTAAGTAATCTATACTAATAAAATGGTAATATGCAAATTGGCCATGACACCCTCACAGTAACAACTGTACAGCAGGCTGTGTGGGGCGACCAGGCCAGCAGGGGAGTTAGCGAGGGACGATCAAATGACCAGTAGGTTGCGTGGGGCAACCAGGTCAGCGGGGGGGGGGGGGGGGGGGGGAGCTGCGCGGGTATTTGGGGGTAACCGGGCCAGCAGAGGGGACAGTGAGGAGCAACCTGGCTGGCAGGGAGGAAGTTAGGGGTGATCAGGCTGACAGGCAGAGACAGTCAGGGGTGATTAGGCTGACAGGGGAGGAGGGAACAATTAGGGGCAATCAAGCAGGCAGGTAGGTGAGCAGTTAGGAGCCATTGGTCCCAGATTGTGAGAGGGATGTCTGACTGCCGGTTTTGGCCCAATACATAGGATCAAGCCGAAACTGGCAATTGGGCATCCCCTGAGGGGTCTTGGATTGGAGAGGGTCCAGGCTGGGCTGAGGGGACCCACCCCACCTCCACCCCCTATGTAAGAGTATAAACCAGGCCTCTAGTAACAGTATAAACACAATCACACAAAAGGAGTTGAGTTAACATTCACTTTCTCTTTCCTTCACTCCATCTTGTGATGTTTTTGTTATGTATATTTGAAGAGATTAATGATATCCAGCAAATAAAAAAATATTAAAACTTTATATCTTGAAAGTCAGTGAACTCTGAATATACAAGAAATGAGAACAGGGTAATCAAGTGTAACAGGTATTCCATATCCTATATAATCCTATATAATAAAGGCTAATATGAAAATAGACCAAATCCCAAAACAACTGAACAACCGGCCACTATTCTGTGTGCTAACCACCAGGGGGCACGTGCGGGACATGGCAGGTGTCGGCAGCAGGTAGCAGAACATGGAACATGGCGGGTGTGGGCTGTGGCCTGGTGGTGGAGCAGATGAGCAGGGGCTCCAGCCCAAGGCACGGTGTCAGTCACTGTCATTGAGGTGAGCCTCTGGCGATTACTGAAAATTCTTTGCTCCCGCACGCCATGGTTCCACCCCGCACTCGCACCTGCTACCTGTGCCTGGTGCCCGGCACCAGTCCCAATTGCTCGGTGCTGTCAGTAGGTGTGAGCAGCAGCTACTGGCCCCAGACACCCCTGAGGGCTTCTCCACTTCCCCCTGCTACTGATGGGTGATTGGGGCAGCTACCGCCCCTTGCACCCGCTGATGGTGCCAGCCCACTCACATCCCCTACTGGCACTGCGCCATCAGCCCATGGGAGTGGTGGTGGTGGGAATGGGGTTGCTGGCAGGGGACCAGGGGCCGCAGCAGGAGGGGCCAGGCAAGGGCACAGAGGATGGGCTGAGACCCATCCCTATGCCCACTGCAGTATCATGGCCCACAGTTCCTTTCAAGGTGCACAAATTTGTGCACTGCTCCCTCCCCACCACATACACACACACACATCCAAATGAGTGTTGGCCCTTTCAAAGTAGTCACCTTACATAGCTATATGGTTTGTTCCGATAACAGTATTGTTCAAACTCGTTTTAGAGCTTTGAAAATTAATCTCAGTACCTTTGTGTCTATCCTTAGTAAGGAACAAAATATTCTTTGAAAATGGAGCTGGGTGCACCCTATGTTCATTGCAGCACTATTTACAATAGCCAATATTTGGAAGCAGCCCAAGTGCCCATCAGTTGATGAGAGGATTAAAAAAAAAAAAAAAGGCTGTGGTACCTTTACACAATGGAATACTACTTGGCTATAAAAAAAAAAATAAAAATAAAACACACACACACACAGACAACAGGGGGGTGAGGGCATAAATGGGAGGTGAGGGGTAATGAGGGAATAAAGATACATATGTAATACCTTTATCAATAAAGAAGTTTGTTTTGTTTTTTTAATTTAAAAATAAAGAAGAAGAAGGAAATCTTCCTTTTTGCATGGATGGACCTGGAGAGTATTATATTAAATAATTCATTCAGAAAAAGTACCATATGATTTCACTTATGTGTAGAATCTAATGAACAAAATAAACAAACAAAATATTAATAGAAATAGACTCATAGATAAAGAGAACAGACTGACAGCTGTCAGAGGGCCTGAGGAGTTGGGGGGCTGGGTGGAAAAGGTGAAGAGGAAAAAAAAAAAAAAAACTCAGACACAGCCCAGCTGGCATGTTTCAGTCTCAGTGGTTGAGTGCCGACCTGTGAACCAGGAGGTGACAGTTCGATTCCTGGTCAGGGCACATGCTCAGGTTGCAGATTCAATCCCCAGTGTGGGGTGTGCAGGAGGCTGCCAATCAATAATTGTCTCTTGTCGATGTTTTTATCTCTCTCTCCCTCTCCTTTCCTCTCTCTAAATCAATAGAAACATTAAAACACACACACACCTCAGACACAGATATTGATTACTAGGGAGAAAGGGAGTTGGGAGGAGATAGAAAAGGGTAAAGGGGGGTAAATGGTGATGGAAGGAGATTTGACTTGACTTGGAGTGGTGAACACAAAATACAATATACAAATGATGTCTTATAGAATTGTATACCTGAAACCTATATAAGACCAAAATTAAGTGACTGGTCTAGAAACACATAGCAGTAATTATAATGGACTTAAAATTATACCCCTAAGCTTTTAGATCATCCAATTTTGTTAGATGCAATTCTAATAAAATGAGGTAAGTGTTCTCCTGTTATTTAAAAAGATTCTAAACTTGATTCTAAAAGGAGGAGCTTAAAAATGTTTAGCAGTATCATTGTCTTTTAAATAAATGTATGAATTATAAAGATCTAAAAAAGCAGTGTACACCAGAAAGAACACTGGGTTAAGTTGCAGGTTTGGCTTCTGGTAAACTGTGTGCAGACTTCTTCCATGGGACTCGGGGATTCTAATCTGTAAAATGGATTGATACTTTCTTAGATCCATTCCAGCTTCCAAATTCCCTGATGTAGCGATTCTACTTAGTAGTTACAAATACATATACAGGATTTTAGGCCTGAGAATGGGCCACATTATGCAAAATGTTGCCTCTATTTTTTTTTTTAAGTAAGTTCTGATATCTTTGGTAAATTTTATCTTGTTACTTTATATCAATCCTGTTACTACAAGTCCAGTCGCTTTGTATTTACAGGTGAGGATCCAAAGACTAAAATTAAGTGACTGGTCTAGAAACACAGAGCAGTTTACAAATCAAGCAAAATTGTGGAGGCTCTCAGGATTCACTTTCACAGTGTTAGCCTTAGGCCTGTAGTCCCGACTTCAGTCTCAACTGGCCATTTTCCCACTAGAAGTAGCTCTTCTAACTATGGATAGAAAATGGATGAAACAACTAGCAAATAAATTAAAATAATGGCCAAATTTTCTATTTCATATTTACTTTCCCATTTCCTACAACCCTTCCTATCTGTATACTTGCAATTAAAACTGTGGGATAAGAACTATTAGATGTTTCCCTTTTACAAGAAGAAAAGCCCATAGTTTCCTTCTATAGTTTTGTATCTCTGTTTAGAAGAAACTGTTACACACATATAAATATAAATAATGCCCATATAGCTGAGAATATTCCTAAGAGAAACCACATAAGGACAATTTTATGCCATTTAAAATGCTCATTAAAATAAATACGTTGCTAACTTAATAAGATATTACTCTGCATCCAGTTTTTATTTACATGCTGATTATTTTTTAATTTTATTTTTGTTGTTTATGCTATGACAGATGTCCCCGTTTCCCCCCTTTGCCCGCCTCTACCTAGCCCCTGGTCCCCCTTCTACCTTGTCCCAGTCTCCCCCACCCTCATTCCCTCTGGCCATCATCACAACTGTTGTCTGTGACTATACGTTATGCATATATGTTGTTTGGCTAATCTGTAAACCTTCTTTCATCCAGGAAGGATAATGTTTTGTTGTTAAAATTTGAATATTTTATTGGGGATGTCACATTGTCCATTGAAAATGTTCATTCTAAATATAATTCAATGTAATTACAATAATAATTTAGTTCGTGCATTTGCGGGTTTGAGCTTTTTATATTTGCTAGATGCAATTCTGAAATTTAACACTTGTCTGTCTTAAGGAGATCTGCCCTGCATGCAAATCTATAACTAGACAAATATTATTTCCTTTCCCAGCTTGCTCTTGGGAGGTTTCCATATCCTCAGGTAAGATTGTTCATTACTGCCGTTTGCCACTGTGACATTCATTCCTATGTATGAAGGTGCGGGGAGCAATTGTGAACATTGGAGCCACATACAAATAAATCTGTCCTGTTAAATTGAAAAGTGATATTTTAAAGGAGTCATTTAGAAGTCTCTATTGATTTTTGATTTTTTTTAAACTCCAGATTTTTTTTTCTTTGTTAAAGGTTGAAAGCTATCATCGTGCTCCTCCTTTGTGTGACATTGGTGATGTTTTCCCTTATCCTAACCCAGTACCACACGCTCATATTGAGGTTGGGGAGAGGCACAGCCTTTCCTTGAGCTTTCGGATTCATTAAAATCATTTGAATTAAAGGATTGAGATGAAAGGTAAAAAATATCTAAAGGGGTCCTCATTTTTGTTAAGCAAATAGGTGGACCTCCAATGTGTGTGGGTATGATTTTGAACATATTTTTTAAAATTGTGCCCTTTCCTATTCACATTTCTAAGAAAACAAACTATCCACTATATTACCACTGCTGGTGATAACCTTTAAATTTCTTTAAGATTTTTATTAAAGATGAGTGCTAGCACTTAAAATATAAAGCTATTTTGTGGTTTGAAAATGATTCCCCAGTGTATGTGGAGAAATAAGTGAAATGTCTAGAGGGATGACAAATGGATGGTTTGACTGTTTTCCTCTGGTTGCTGCTCCCTGTTTTTCTGGCATCTTGGTCTGTACAGGCCAAAGTGCCTGGAGGCATGTCTGATTTAAAGGTGGTGTTGGTCTCTGCTCTTTAAGCATCTATTAACTTGCTATTATTATGCAAATAAGTGTTGTATTACACATACTAATTTATGCATGGTTAGATTATGCAGATGCATCACAAACATGGTTATTGAATAATAGGATGGGATTCATTCTCTCTACCATCTTTTTAAGTGGTTTTAAGCAAATTCTCCTGGTACCCATGTAGACATTTAAAGACCCTTCACTTGCTGAAATGTCTGTTTTGTTTTATTCTTTTTCTTTTACAGTTAAAGCCATTAGAGAAGTGGAAGAGAAGCTGTTAGGTTCAAGAATGTCAGTCTCACTTTTCACATTTATAGGCTTCTTTGTTTAAACATAATCTTTTCCTTAAAGAGAAAGTCTGAAATGTCACGATTGTTGGCGTGCGTGCTCGCATTTAGTGAGATTGTAGTGTACACAGCGAGCTGCTTAGCTCATCAAATTAAAACCACATTTTCAGGATTTATTGCTCATTAGAATATTTATCTCAGTAAGCTTCTTATTGTGTCACTAATTTTTAAACAATTCACTGTTTGGCCAATTTGTGGAATCCCCTAAGATGTTGTACTAAATCAAGACAAGAGGTCATATACACTATTTCAGACAAGTTGTAGTAGATGTAAACAATCTAATAAATAGCCAAAGATTGAGAATGTAGCTCTACTCTTGTGATACCCAATGTCTCGGGTAATTAATCGGTGAGACTGGGTGGTAGGTCTGAGGAACGGGTTGCCATTGCATGTGACCAATGAAGCATTTGAAGGCTCTGGTCAGAGTTGGGAGGAGACAGTATACCCTTGCAATACTGTTTTCCTGAATGTCTAAGTAAGTATATGTTTACTTGATCATTCAAGTGGAAGTTGGAAAATTCTAATGTGCTGAACTCCTTAGTTAGCAATAACCTTTAGGCACGGGGAGGGGAGGAGGGGACACCAAGGGGACTGTGCTCCTTGAATCACAGTAGAATATTGTCACCAAATTGGGACTTTTGCTTCAAATAATAGAAGCAGCTTTGGTACCATCAGGCCCTATTTCCCAGATTTTTCAACAGAAGTTTGTGTGCTTTGTTGCTAGAATCAATGATGACTTTGGATAGAGTTGGTATTTATTTTACAGGCTTTATACTATAGACTGAAGATGGGGAAAGAGTACTTGATAAATTCCTTTTGTGCCCCCTTTTTTTTGCCCTCACAGCACTTGAAGAAAAGTGTTTATTTTAATAATGTCACAGAGACTGGATTATTCAATAACACCTTCTCTTTAGCCCGTATTACCTCATTGGAACCCCCAGCCACTCTGAGATCACCTCCCCTCATAAATGGGGCAAGCAGAACGGCCGGTTTCTCACCATGGAGCTGCAGGTGGTTTGGTGGTGCCGTTGGATCCCAAATGGAGTAGTCTCAGGATTTGAAGGGATCTTAGACATCATTGAATCAAACCTCTCTACAATACCTGAAAAGCAAACATCCACACTGTGCTTGAATATACCCCCAGAGATAGGAAACTCACTTCTTTCCAAAGCAGCCATAGAGTCAAGGCAGCGTTCTATTTATCGAGCTGGGGACTGCCTCCCATTTGTCACCCCTTTCTTATCTGACTCAAGGAAGTCTGCAGATCAGATGAGATGGATATAAAACCACTCAGAAAAGTCCAAAGGGACACCCACTGGGCTTGCTGTTGGGCTGTAGCACAACTTCTAATCGTCAATCTGAAGGTTGCAAAAGGATGTGCTCAGCAACCTGCCAGTCGCAACTGGCCCCCAGGATCCACTGAGCTGAGGTGAAAGTGGGGAGGAGAGGCTACTGCAGACTCTTCCTTCCCCCAGCCCAGCGTCAGTGCTGCTGACAGGGTCATTAGCAGCGCCTCTTCCTGCTCCTGCTGGCGGGCGGGCGACACTCTGTATACCCAGTGGGGATGCAGCCAAGGGAGGGGTGCTGGGAAGGTATCTAGGAGAGTCAGGGCGACCAACATAAAGGTTAAAGGAATGTATTTTTGTTGAAATCATTATTTTATATGAATTTCATTGTTTTGTGGGTTGGGTTTTTATTTGGTTTTTGAAAATACTACCCATTTTTGATTCCTTTAGGCCTTTGGCATACAGTGCAGGATGCTATAGAAAAAAAGGGCAAAGAGCCACTAAAAATGCAGTCTTATTACTGTAGCTTATATTAGCAATGGTGATGCCTTAGATTCATCTAGCACCTTTCCTCATGGAGTCCAGACACTTTTTGTTATCTGATTGGCTGCGTATCCACCCTGCAGGGACCGTTATTCCCTGACTCCAGGAGAGCAGACAGTCTCAGAGGGGCAGCACCCATCGCCTCAGTGATGAGTGGGTACAGTTGGGTCTAGGATTTGCAGGTAACAGACCGAATGACTGACCCTGTGTACTCTGAACTTGGTTGGTTAGTAGTACCACTGCTCTTCACCCTCAGCACCACCACGCCTTTCACTTCTCTTGGTTTGTCTTCTCTGCCCTAGAGAGGCCTCTTGTGTAGATGGCAAGTGCTGAGCATGGGAGGGGGGTGCCATGGCAGGCGAGGACAAGAGCTTTCCCTAGAGCCCTTAGGCTTTCTTACCAGGTGTTTAGCAGAGTGACAGGAGGATCGGAGGGCCCTACAGCTCCAACTGACCCCAGTGCCATTCAGTTCTGGGTGCCTGGGAAGCTTATTCTGCAATAGGACAATGAAAAATTGTGTTTAAAGCATCTTGCACACAGAGAGTATCTCAATTTCTTGAACAATTTAGCTTTAATAGTAATCTGGTAAGATGTGCAGGTCTGGACAAGGACTGGAGCTGTGTATAGTTAATCATGTCGATTCGAATTCAGTTGGCTTAAAAAACATGACGGTGGGCAATGGTTTGTTTAATGACACCATAATTTAGGAGAAATAAAAAAGATTGCATGCTAAAAATCATCCTCCCTTCTTCAAACTTTACAGTAGTTTTCTGCATAAGGATGATAGTAAATCCATTAAGGAGACTTCTCAAGGGATGCGCCAGCTCTGGCATTTGGAAATTTGGAAAGCAAGATGCCACAGGAAAGTAAGATAATACAGATACAAATGTACTTAAAGTACTTTTGCATGTATAAAATTGTTGTTCTTCTTTTGGCGATATTTCCTGATCTTAGTCAATAAATTACATCAAAATGACCTGAAGTTAAAAAAAGGAAGAAAAAAAAATCTGAGCAAATAGTGCCCCTGGTATTGTAAAGCTTTGAATGTTTTCACACCCCATTAATTTATTACTTCTCTTTCTTCATCTTTAAATTTTTTTTTTCAAAAATTCCGACTCCCTGCTGCTGCAGTGATTTTCATCTTGTTGTTAATTTTCCCTGCTCCATATGGAGCTCCAGACATTTCACCTGGAGGCTGTACTAGATTTTGCTGTAGTGATCATACTTCCGGAGGCCAAACTGTCATTTAGGGTTCCTGGTGCATCTGTCTGCGCCAGGCTTTTCACTGGCATGGGAGAGTGTGAATAACAAATTGGATGCACCTGAGATTCAGATGATTAGTGTGTTTTGTGAATCTCCACGACTTGTAAGCAGATAGCTCTGGGGGGGGGGGGGGGGGGGGTGATGGGAGGGCTAAGCAGCGACTGTGGGTGAATCTGTACTCACACCTTACATTTGGGGCTTTGCAAAGGAAGTGCAAACGTCCTAGGCAGTCTGGGTGCAGAGAGAGTAACAAATATTTCATCCTGCCTTGTCATTGATTAGAAAAGAGCCTTTAATTTCATTTCACCCCATGTTGTGATTAATTTGCATTCTTTGTCAGAAGTTAATGGAGTTTTTTATGGTTCACAATGAAATCCTTGAAGACATCAGACTTGATCTGATGTTTATACAACCGCCAGCGGAATTTTTTCGTTTGATTGATGGCAAGCTTGATGTTATTCCAAACGGCTTTTTAAGCTGTTTTTAAGAATTATTTGAATAAAATGCAGGCAAGATATTGTTGTAAGACTAAGATTATCTGTTAAAAATCTGTTTCAAATAAAGAAGATGATAAGTAGTAAAAGGAATCAAAAACATAAGAGAGTGAATAGTGAAGTTATCTGTTAAAAATACATTAGAATGGCATTCAAATAAATTGTTGCAATATATAGAGGTCACTTTTGTTGCAAATACCACCATCTGGGCAAGTAGAATAATTAAGACTAAGGTAAAAGGTGAGTCTACATCTTTAGGATTAAAAACCTTTACTACCAATTGGCTAATTCTCATTT